CGCGACGGCGGGAGAGGAGGAGAAGAAGAAGAAGAAGAAAATTTAAAGAAGAAGAAGAAGAAAAAAAAAAACGAGGAAGAAAAATAAGAAGGGGAAAAAAAAAAAGAAAAAAAATTGTCGTTGATTACTTATCTGCGTGGCGGCGATGACAAGGACGGCGCGACGCAGCGACGAGGACGACGGGCACGGTGATGGTCACGTACGACGACGACGATCGCGATGATGATGTCGTGGCAAGACGACGACGATCGCGACAATGACGGTGATGACGTGGCACAACGGCGACGATGGTGACGATGACGTGGCACTGCGACGACGATCACGACGATGATGCTGATGATGGCCAGGTCATGGCGACGAAGCAGGGTGGGTCGGGCGGGTTCGAACCGCTCCGATGAGGGAGAGCCGAGGGAGAGGAGAGAGGGAGGGAGAGAGTGAGAGCACACACACACTCACTCACTCGACACGACCAAGGGTCGGACGCAGACACAGTGGCAAGACAAAGTCGAAGTCTTGGATTCCGAATGTCGAAACAGCAAGTCACACTGAGTACGAGCACAGCAGCAGAAAACTGGTACGAGACTGGTCCCCCGTACCGTACGGGGAGCCGGTATAAGTACCGGTGGCACGTACGGTACCAGGGGCATTTCTGCAAAGGCCCCGAGGGCAGAACTGAAAAATGCAGTATTTGAAAGTGGCGCCTGAATTGCGGCATGGCGCCATTTGTCCAAAATCCTACGGTACCAAAGGAGGGGTTTGGAAAAAGGGTGCCAGGCCGAAAACAGGATGCAGCCGAAACAGCAAAAAGATAGACCAGGGATCGAGCCCTGGCGAAGTCCGTAACAGCCCCAGCCTTGCTGAAAATGCAGCTCGTCACCTATGAAAATTCCGGAGGCTCGACCTACCGGACCACAATGGCTGGCGGCGCCAGCCAAGAAAGAAAGGAAGTGCGCTGCTAGCAGTTTGGAAAAGCTTGGCACGCATTAAGCCGCATCCACTCCCGGGTGTACTGGTGGTTTAAGGGGGCATACTCACACCAGGGCTTGATAAACTGGATGTAAGCAGCAAGGCAAGTTAAAAACCACTAGGAAAGCTCTATTTTTTGTAGTGTGTGCGTGCCCGATCTTACCCTGTCACTCGGGCTCTACATCAATCAAGGTGGTAGGTCTTGTTCTGCTGAAGCCCTGTGAGAGCCTTGGTAAACCTTTTTCCAGCGATCAAGGTAAGCAGAGCCCTTTCAAAGCCCCATAAGAGCCATGCCGAACCTCGATTAGAGTCTTGTTGAGCCACCTGCACCCCCAAGCGTCTTTTTCCGACCCGGATTTGCACTGCACAACAAAGAAAAACGAGCTGCCACTGCTGCCGTTTTTTTTTTGTTGGCTGTCGCCACCAGGCATTTTGGTCTTCTAGCGTCACTCGTCCAAAGAACCCGGATTGACACAATTTCAATTCTCAAGTTTGTCTGCGCAAGGTACTGGTGGTTTAAAAGTCTTCTAAGTTCTACTGCCAAAGCCCTCCAGGTTAAACTCTGTTAGAAAGCCCTGCTAAACGGATTGACACAATTTCAGTTCTAAAGTTTGTCTGCGTGAGGTACTGGTGGTTTAAAAGTCTTCTACTGCCAAAGCCCTCCCGGTAAAACTCTGTTAGAAAGCCCTGCTAAAGCTCTGTTGAAAAAACCTGTTAAAAAGTCCTGTAAAACCACCAGTACACCTGGGGAGGGGCGTATGAAACAAACTCAATTTGTAGTAGAAGATAAAGTCTGGTCTGCAGCAAGTAGCTAAAAGCAAAACCAAATTTTCTGAATAACATGAACAAACAAAATTCCTCGACAAAGGGGTATTTTCTTCAGCATCAAAGACCAAATCTGGCTATATGCTGGAACCTCTGACCGAGTGACGCGAGCACAATAATGATAATGAATGCGTCGGGGCGGACAATCAGGAGGGAAGTCATGTGTTGATACATGCACTCCACCGCTCAGCAACTACACCGCCAGCCAAAACATAAAGAAAAGGTGCCATTATGGTCCGGTTGCCTGGAGGCCCAAAAAGCCCCAAATGTTTTTGGTGTGGCGACAAGTTTCTGTCCTGCAAGGCTGGGGCGGTGTACTGGTGGTCTAAAGCCCTGTGAAATCTCTGATGTCCTGTTAGTGTCTTCATTAGAATCCCTGTTGAATCCCTGTTAAAGCCTTGTTGAGATTCTGTTGAATCGCACGGAGGTGGAGTGTGCAAAGGTGCACTGTTGATGAATATTCCATTATCGCCATTGCTTCCAATGTAAGTGAAGGTTTTAACATGAGTCTGAATCCATGGTTGCGGGATCCTGTCACAGGACTCATCTAGTGCCTGTGGATGTTGTCTGGGCTTGTGGACCTGGTCCAGACAGAGGGGTGCACAGACTTCAGAAGCTGCTCATTCATGCTAGAGCACCTGTTCTCTGTTTTGAAAGGCATTCCACGATGCAGACCCCAAATTCGAATCCCAGGGTCAAATCCCTAGGCCGAGAGAGGCCAGGTCGGCCAGTTTCAGAAAGGCTACGGCGGGTACCCCCCAGGGGTCAAGTCCAACAGGTACCCGGTCAACAGTCACATCCAAGAGGCAAAAGTCACGTCCAATAGGCAAAACTCACGTCTCACAGTCAGAGGTCATGTCCCACAGGCAAGAGTCATATCTCGTGTCAAAAGTCATCTTCTACAGGCAAGGGTCACAACCTACAGGCAAAGGTCACGTTCCGCAGACCCAAAAGCAGCAGCACACCAAGGAAAAAACTCAGGGAGGTACTAGGCCGTGACATTCTGAAGCAAACAGGCCGTGGGCATGTGGTACTGGAGCCAAGTCAAGCCAAAGGAAGCAGAGGCTGGGACGAGTGAAGGCTCAGTCCAAGTCAATATAAGGACTGGCCAGCCTCATTTCGGACAGATTGCTCATTCACAAGAAGTGTGGGAGTGCTGCTGGCGCTTGTGCGCTATCTGCGGGTGACTGGTGCCGGAGCCCTGGCAGGGCAGCGCTGTGTTGAGGAGGGAAGGCGGGCATAGCCGCACAGCTAGTAGTAGGAGATAGAGCTGAGTAGTAGCGGATGTCTCCAGAGTCATAATTTTCAAGTAGAGATAGAGTGCGGAGAGGACATGTTCCTGGTTTGTGATGGTGATTTATTTGAGTGACATCTGCACGTTTTCTGTTTCCTGCTGCTGAGTTCTTCTCCGGGTTGCAACGTGATCATTGTAGTCCTGTAAGTGATGTAGGACTACATCGGAGTTAATAGTCCTATATAAGTGATATAGGACTATATCGGATTTGTGTGACTGCAGCCTGGGCACTGAGCTCCGAATAGGGAGAAGAAACACTGGACACCATGAGAGAGAGAGAGAGAGAGAGAGAGAGAGAGAGAGAGAGAGAGAGAGAGAGAGAGAGAGAGAGAGAGAGGGAGACGAAGAGGGAGAGAAGATACAGGGGGATGGGGAGAGAGAGTCACCTACCTTGGACGAGGATGCTGGTTATGGGTTGCTGAACTCTGCACTGATGAGCGCTGGTGACTAGAACTCTGAAACTGTTTAATATGATAATTCGCTGGAATTTCTAAGCTGCGCTAAACTGGACTTTGCATCTCTGGACTCTAGTGTGGATTTCGTGTGATCTCTCAATGTGTGCGTGTGCTCAAGGTGACGAACAGTGTGGTTCAATGCAGTTTGTTGTTGTTGTTGGTGCAATGGTGATGTTATTGTGACAAGCCCAAATTTCAAACTTTGAATGTTGTTTATGGGTGCTCTGAAGAAAAAGAGGAAGAATTGAAGAAGAAGAAAACCTGTGTGTGTGTGTGTGTGTGTGTGTGTGTGTGTGTG